TGATCTCGCAGTAACAGAGTTTTATGAGAACGAAAAACTTTAAATATCTCTTTTTTGTCATCTTTCATCTTAACTTATATATTGAGTTTTCTACTGTTAACTTCTGAATTAAACTTTTTTCTTTTTTCTATTATTTTTTATGCTAAATTTTTGCTTCTCTCTTCCAGATATTAATTGATTCTGTACTTATCAATTGATTAATAAAGTGAAGAAGTGAGAAAGTTTCATTTAGTTTCCTTTGTTAATTGAAATGATATTAAGAGAAAAGAATTACAGATAGCAAAATTAATCGTCATTTAAACGGGATAACAGCAATTTATTATATGTTTATTCTTTTCCGATTGCCTGTCCACGTTTTAAAATATCCGAAACGAATCAAAGCTTCTTTTGAAAGAAAATCGTTCAAGATCTCTTCTCTGTAACAGATGTCAACGATAACTAAGCAGGCTGTGCTGTCGCTGCAAACACTAACTTTGTCATCCTCTTCACTTGTCCTTGTCCTGTGCTGCACTTAATTACGTTAAACAGACAGCAAATACCATAAATGGCTCGTTGTCGTAGTTCTTTACGCTTTCTTCAACCTGTCACGACCTTTCGCAGTCGACTTTAAAAGTAATCATTGGTAACTCATTTAAAATGAGAATCGACTGATCATGAAGACGTTACTAGGTTGCTTACTGCTTCATATCTTCAGTCTTGACGGTTGAAGCAGCTAAGGAAGGGAGATGCGATGTCAAGAACACATTCATCACTTGGTGGTCGATAAAAGTCTACAGATGTAGTTCATAAGCCAACGTCTGCGGTCAGAGCCTTTCTAACCTATCTCACATCAAGCTTTTCTTCAAAAGGAAGCAATTTTTAAGTCTTCTAAAAATAAACTATAATACGTAAAATTTGTTTAAATTTATATATTTCTGAATATAATCAAAACTGAGCTTTCCCATATGAATCGCGATTTTAATCCCAGACGTCTAAAATAGTAGAAGGTGAACTATCCCGTTACTATGGTAACTAAACATGAATATTGCATGAGTTGAGGCATGTTAAGCAGAGACGCCTCTGATGTTACAGGGTCTTCTGTCTTTCTCTCTTCTTCTTCCCGTTTTGGAAATTTTCTGAACGGTTTCAGTATAAACACTTCTTTCTTTTCGTCTTCGCTGCTTTTTGGGTGGGTTTACTTTCTTAGAGGCACCACAATGGTGAATGATTATCATCCACATAGACGTAACGCTTTGTGATTGCTTTTAATAAATCATTCTTTGCATTAATCTTTAAATATCAAAACGATGCTACAACCGTTTACGCTCGGGTGATATCAAACAGCATTTTAATTTAAAAAGGTAGGAAAAAATCTTTAATGAATACAGTATTCACTTTGTCTTCGAATATAACATTATCCAACTTCTCTTCCCAATTTTCTCTTTTTTATGGTTACTGGAAAATATCAAATGTAGCAAAATGACAAAGAATGCTTCGGGTACTTACTTAGAAGGAGAAGATAATCTATGCTCCACTTAACCCATAACTTATTAAGTTACGTCTTGCGTAGTTTGATCAGGATCCAATCACGTCTTGGTAATCTATCTAAAATATGCTTCCTCTACGGATATTTTCTATCGAACTCAATAATACCAAGTCGATATGCTGAATAAGAGATTACGATGAAACAGGAGAGTGACTTGAACCTTAATCATTGTCCTTCCTACGCTTCCTCTGATCGAAATGTCTGATAAAGTTAATTCGACTTCCGGTTTAATAAAAGTAGTTAGTGGTCCAGTGCAGTTTGAATTTTAACTATAAAATTGCATTTTTTTAAATTTCTTTTTCTTTTATTTAAGTGAAAATTAACTCGTTCTATCATTTCTTTTATGGTATATCTCTAGGGAGCTTGTTATATTTTCGAAAATTTAATTTATAATTCTAATTAAAATCCAAGAATAACTTCAAGAAAACAGAAGAGAGAATTCACTAAAGTTTAAGAAATAAATTAAACATGCGAAAAGTTTAGATTTACATCAAATATGCACTACTCTTGAGAATTTCTGCTAAGAAAATTAAATGTCTAAAACACTCTTTCGTCGTACATTCGTTTTTCTCAAGAGTTAAGATGTATCAGTTCATGTATTAATGAATTTAAAGCAAAGGAGGTATGGATTATTTATAACTCTTATTATGAGAGTTAAAGGAGTTTCTAAGCATTTATAACTTTTTCCATTGGGTCGCTGACATCTGTACACTTGGGAGATGAAAGTAAAAAGTTTTGAAGATAACACAACCACGTTCTTTACTTCAGCCAGACCATGTGGAAGAGTAATGTAATTGTCGCAAGTCTAAGAACTTTAAAGTTGGACCAAGCTGTGTTAGTATATGTTTGTTTTCACTGACGCACAACACGATAAAGGAGAAGCTGGATAACGTTACCGTAATGAGACAGGTGAAATATTACTGAAGTCAAAGGTAATTGGTTACACTCAGCACTACCTCCCGGGAAGCACCGAAATGTCACGCTTGGAGTTTGTTAGGAGAAATAATTTCCACATTTCTTTACTGGTAATCTTTTCAAAATGACTTTTTAGAAAGAAAATTATTTTATTGCAGACTTAAAAAATATGAACAACTCCTTCCTCGATGAAACGAAAGAAGTAACGCATCAAACTGCAAGCTCTTAAAGTTAACGAATGACAAACAATTTTCTCTGTTCTAAACTTAGTAAAAGTATTTCTCAATATGACTTTACTACCTTATACAGTTTTTCCTTCATCAAATTTTGTATAATATTAATCACAAAATCTTTAGTACGGTGACATAAAGTTGAATTTATGAAATTATACGAGCATTTACTTTTATAAATGTCACAAATAATTAGATTCTTCCTGGAGATAATATTCTCTGAAGTCGTGCTTATCCGCGCTTTCTAATTTATGAAGTATTCTTTCTGTGTTAAAGTTAAAGGAAGGATAGAGTTTCATTGACTGTAAACATAGACGTAGTCGGCTCTACCGATGTTCGGCCACAATAATAAATCTTCCCAGTTAAGAGCAGCTTGGTAGTCGAGCCACACCCAAGCAGACTTATCAGCAGCGTTGTATTACATGTGTCACGACCATATCATAGTTGCAGGAATCCGAAACGAAGGAATCTTTTACCTTCGTGTTGGAACTTCTCAGCTGGTGAAAGATCTTCACTTTCGACAAGGTACATTATTTGAAAAGAAAATCGAAAATAAAATAAATTTGCTACTCTTAACGCGCCAGATACTTCAACACACATTCTTTTCTCAAGTTTAAAACTAAATTATTGAAATCTGTAAAAGAAAATACTAAGCTTATTAAGATGTCACGAAACTAGGCGAATTCCATTAGGAAAAGCGAAGCAGCTTGACTCTGAAGGTTGAATATATGACTTGTGATCGATCAGAGAGGAGAACTTACTCCACGTGTTTGGTTTAAGCTCCGATAGAATGGGAGAGTGTCTCCATTGATGTGAAGAGTTACAGATCTTCCACAACAACGATTCGGCCTCTCTAGAAAGCAGTTATTTCTCTCGTGAACCTAAAGTAAATATGGTAGGAATAAACGTTATTTCTACCGTATTTACTCTACTTCAATTCCCCTTTAAATATAATATTATATCTTAAAAAGTAGAAGAAAATAAAGACAAGATTTAGTTTTGAAATTAATTAATAAATTTTGCTCTTTTCTTGACGAATTAAACACGTGTATGATGTATGGAATTAATAGTAAATTAAAAGGATAAAATGAACTTTTTATATAAATAGTTCAAATGTATTCGTTAACAAGTAATTATTTATATAATCCGAATTTTATGCTTAATGAGAAATTTCTCGAATAATCTAAATTTCATCAAGTTAGTGCTTAATTAAAAAGTAATTGCTGACTCAGTGACAAACTTTATTAAGCTTATTTCTTATTTTATGTATCGAGTTCGGACCCCATTTTAGCTTGCGATATTTAATTAATTTTTTCTTTTTCTGTAAAGAGAGTTAATTGATTGGTTTTGGTAAGCCTATTAAGTGAACTTTAGTAAGAAAAAATTTCTCCACAAAAATAAAAATTCTATACTATCTACTGGAATTTCGTTTTGTTCGAATTTTATTCGCAGCAGTTTTTTTTAATTTTAATTCTTTCCGCCCTGAAAATTTTGCGTTAATTCGATCAGGCCCACAATGTGGATGAATGAAAGGTGACCAACAAACAGGCTTTAATATATCTTGTTCAACCTTCCTATGAAAATTTGGGTAGCCAATGCGAATTCGAACCTGGATCCCTAGAGTTACATGCGTTTATTGTTTTGCTAGTTCTGCCATCAAGTCTTAAACTGTAGAGAATAAGGTTACACAATAAAAATATATTCAACATCTGAGAAATTTATTCTTTCTTGATATATTCCAATTTTCATGGTTTAATTGTGGTAGAGATACATTAAAATAATCTACAGTGAGTCATTGCTCGTTTACTTCAGAGATATCAGTTTTTCTTTAAATATAGGATTCGTGTACATTAAGAAAGAGTATTCTTAAATACCTTAACAAGAAGAAAAGCAGCATTCTTAAATTCTCTGTTCTCTTTACTTTAATAGAGCAATGAAGTTTAATAACACTTCTTTCATTTAATTTAATAAGATGTGGGATTTAGGAAATGATCCCTATCGTGATTAAATCAGAAGCGTAGATAATGCATAATTAAAGGGCATACTAGATATAATAATTTCAGATTATTAAACTAACATATTGCCGTTTTGACCGCATCATTCAATACAGGGTCCATCTGACTAATTTCTCAATCATGACACATGCAGATGGTGCATCAATTATCACGCATGGCCACACTGTTTCAATATATTAGCACTATTCTGCTTATTAGTTATAAGCTTATATTAACTGCCTTGATAATATAATAATGAGAATTTAGAAAATAAAGATAAAAATTTTATTTTTTTCTCATTTTTTTCTAATTTTATATTATTTTTTATTCTTTCAGAATCTTTGAGTATCGGTTTTCCTCAAGATTGGTCTTCAGATTGGCCAATTAGTACTTCAAATGTAGAACACGTTGGAGAAGGTTTGCGGCATACAAGTAAGTAAAAGTATTGAAATAGTTTTACTTTTTTATTGGAGAATTACATGGATAAGACACAGTTAGATGAAAGAATTGAAGCGGAACGTATTTCTTTTCATTACAACACCAATATGATTCTTTTCTTCTCTAAATGCTATCTAAACCTTGATCTGTACTGTTCCTTAGATTAAGAGGAAAAATACAACCCGGGCTGCAGAATTAATCGATAATAAAGGAAGGAGAGATTGTGTTAGGCGAAAAGCAAGAGCAGATAGAAAGGAAAACTCATAGAAATGAACCATTTTCACCTTCCTCCCGTTCTCTTGAGGCACGAAGATGAAAATGGCTAATTTCTCGGACCTTCCGAAAATTACTGGCCTCAGAGGTCCTTTTACATCCACTATTACTAAACGAAGTCTGACAAGATGTAGGTAAACCTAAATAGAGATTGAATTTAAAGAGAGTAGGAATATCGAGAGAGCAATTCTAGATCAATAGTTATATTTATCATTCTAGTTCAAGCCCCGATTCGATTCTAATCTCACTCTTCTTTAGTACCGGGGATGCATGTTGTGAGTGAGCTCTTAAAACTTAAATGAGGGGAAAAAAACAATGAAAACAATTTCGAAGTAAAGAAAAGAGATTAAGAGAAATATTAAAAAATTTAAAATTTTTATGAATAATAAAAGTAGAAAATGATCTACTGAATGAAAAATTGTAATTTTTGAATTTAATCGATAAATGCACGATATCAGAATACGTAATGAAGTAAAGTCAATCTTATCAAGAAATTGGAAACTTCAATTACAAATTTAATCCCGAAGAAGCCAACTATTTTCATCAGGGTAATTTCAAGAGGTTTCTCTATAAAATATGTAAAGATTATTTTATTTTTGGAGAAGCAAATCAATTCTTTCCCAGTTTTCTTTGGTAATTTAATCTTGGTTTCGCATCAAAATCTTGTTTACTGCAAAATTTTCATTAATACCAGAATTCGTGTTAATAAATTATGGTTTTTTTTTATTTTATTTTTAAATGTTGCCAGAATGATATTATTTTAAAAAATTTAATTTTTATATTTTTAATTTTAATTTTTTAAAAGATAAAAATGAAAATCATCATAAATTAACTTAGAAAATATATTCTGAGCTTATATAAATATTATAAAATGATAGTATATTGCAGTTATAAATTATAGTTTATGTAAGATTATAAATGGTAATAAATATTACTATGTAAGAGAATGTAGTAAAGTATGAATATATTAATGCAATCCAGGTTTTATAACGGTTATGTAAAACGGAAAAATAAAATAAAATATAGGATGGATGAAGGAATATGCGGCGAGGATAAAGGAGAAGAGTGATAAAAATAACAGAGAGAATCTCTCTATCTTAGAGAAAGATGTTGAAAACGGATACTAAGCAAAGCACTAAGACAAAGAAAGCTATTTTATCCCGCTTCCGAAGATATATTTGCTAATTTAAATATTTAAATGACGAAGGGTAAATTTTATAGTATTTACATGGAACCTCTGCAAAGTTAAGTAAATTATCTGCATTGCTCATATTTTATTAAAAAGTTTACACGTGAATTTATTTATTTATTGAATTTATTATGGCTTTTAAAGTTCGTTCTACTCAATTTTTATTTTTATTTTTTTTTTGAAGAGTTCATTATTTATAAAATCAAATATTAGTTTTTATTTCGTCTCGTAGTTTTGAGAATTACGTTAAAGATTTTCTTTTATTAAAAGCGCGAGAAATTAAGAGGTTGAAGTAGAAGGAAAAAAAATTTGTTAAAGATTTAAAATAAAAAGAAAAAAAATTGTTAAAAATATAATTTTATCTAATATTCAACAAAATTTAAATAATACTTTTTTATATAATTTTTTTTTACTGGTAGAACAGTTTGTAAAAGTGGTTTACTGCGAAAAAATTTATGTATAAATATTAAAGATTGATGACACATCTTTTAAAATATCAAATAAAGTAAAGAGGAGATTATAAAGACATTATTTTTATGTTAAAAACCTGTTTTTTTTTCTTTTTTACTAGAAGAGTAATGTAAAAAGTTACTTTTAGTAGCAGAAAAGTGTTGTTTTATCCAAGTTTAGCGAAAGTAGACCATAATCATACTTACTCTACTTCAATTTTACTGACTTTTATCTATCAAAGAGAAAGAGATATACTGTAATAAACATTACTGTCGAAGGTAAAATGATTTTCTTTAGAAACAAGTAAAATCCGAAAAAGGGAAAGTAGAAGGATAAATATTAAATCCTTTGATGGGCTATCGGCTGACGGCATTTTAACCACATTTTCTTTTGGTACTAGAAGAAGACCGGATTTGCTCACATGTATTATTCACTTCGGCAGTTTTTCCCTTCGGGTAGGTCAGAATATGTTGTCACGATTCTCCGTAGAAAGCAGGTGTTAGTCACTCTTGGGGTAGAGATGACAGCTGGATTGGGTGCAACTGTAGATCTACAATTGCATCGACAAACAAACTTAAATAAGATATCTGAATTGAAGTCTCTACGGCGATACTGTAATTATAGTATAATAAACGATTCATGTTTTTCTTCCTTGACGTAGCCTAGTATTGCCGATGCTGACAAATATTTGCAGTTTTCTCGACTGGTGATGACAATAGGATTAGCGACACGTGTAAAAGATAATTGTACGGATTAGCTAAGTAAGAATACCATTTTTCTGCCTTAGAATGTTAACGTTGTAGTGGAAGAGCAAAGGGCATAGTTTAACTTGTAATTTTTTTCTAAACATCAATATTTTTAATTATCAAATTCGAGAGAAATGAGAATTATAACTAATGTTTATCTTTAAAAAAAAAACTAAGTTTGACGCATAAAATATGTAAAAAATTTAAGCGCATAAATAAATTATAAATGATGAAAATTATTTATTAACGTATATTTACTAAAATACTGATAATAATGATATCTACAGGGAATTAAACCTTTACAAAAACGAATTTATAACTATGCTGTAATGATGTTAAATTCATGAACTTATAATATTTATAATTTATATATTTATCTATAAGTTATATTTTATTAAATTCTTATTTACAATTTTTCGAATATTAATGAATTCATTCATTAATTTTTTGACTATTTATTAAATAGGCTATATTTAATCTTCAGGGAATATTTTACATATCTGTAGTTTTCTTTTATCTAAAAAGATTTTTTTTTCTCTTCACCTGTTTTCTTTACCAATCTCATTAGACAAATCTCTCTAATTTAATGCTTTTCAACCATTTGACATTCTACATCATACATCTTTCATTCACAGTTTTAACATTAGCATTAGCTTACTTTCCTCATCAGCACATCTTTTCCATTTAGTGGTTTTTTCCAACTCTGTAGAAACCTATCAAAATTAGAATCTGCAACGTATTTCCCAAACCACTTAAAATCCATTAACCTTTCCGAAAGCTTTTCTCTTCGAAGAAGTAGGAAGAAGAGGGGAAAAAAATGAAAACTGTAACAGTATTACAAAACAAAGAAAGAGAATATTTCAAATTTGAGTAACAAATATGAAACGGTTGGTTAAACTAGAAGAAACATTTGGACATGACGGCAGTGAAAAGCAAAGTTATCTATTGATCGTCCTCTTTCGACTCAAAGGAGGTGACGTTGTAATAGCGTAGTTAAGTGCTCCAGTGACAACAGTTATCATTATCTTTCCTACTTACCATTAAACTGAAGACATCTGAATAATATTATCTCACGGGATACGACCATGTTCATCGTTTGGGTCAGAGCCATCCACTTGTCGTAATATTACATTTAAGTACTATCCGATTTTGTAATTTGCTGTAGACTTTTTCAATCAAGAACATAATTTCACTTAAGTATTTTTTCCCCCTTTTTCTTCTTCTTTATTTCTCTTTTTCTTTGATTTATACACTTAGAAATGATTACTTTGTTTTATTGAAATTTTTCTTAAATTAATATAATTATTTAAATTATTGAGGTGCACTTCAAATCTTTTTGTTTTTGTAAAAAAAAAAATAAGTTTATAAAATTTTTAATTAAAAAAAACTGGAATTATATTTAAAAGAATTATTAATAATTATAAATGAAAATGAGATAGCTTTCATAGAATAAAAAATAAAAATAATAATAATTTAGGAGGAAGCAAAGTGAAGCATGATTTCTTCTCATTACAAAACTGTGTAGATAATTTTTATAATCTTTATCAAGATAATGAGATTAGTAGAAATGAAACAAATGGAAGAAATATTTTTTAAAAAAAGAAAACGAAGATGAAAGAAACAAATGAAGAGAAATTAGCATTGAAGGGATTACTTTACAAGAACACACAAACGCTTGTATTTAAGGGGAGAAAAAAAGTAAATCTTTCTGAAGAAAAATACTTATTATGCGTAAATAATTTTTAAAAATAATAAATAATTTTTAAATGTAATTCTTAAGATTAAAGTGGATTAAATGAAGTTTTGTTCTAAAGCTTTTAAGAGGAAGTTCTGTTGGGAGCGCGAAGGAATCATTCAATAAAGAAAAGCAATTCCTAAAAGGTCAAAAGTTAGACCAAATGGGAGGTAAATGGCCAAAAGTGATTTTAATGCTAGAAATCTCGTTAGATGACAAATTTACAGCTCTACATCTTTCCCTAATAGGAACTAAAGAGTTAGTAAAAGCTAAGAAAAGAAAAGTGTTTTTCGAATCAATAGTTTCGGACAGAAGAAGAGAAAGTAGATAAACTTCTCTTGGGATATTATCAAAAATGTTAAATTATATTTAAATTTTTTTTAGTGACATGTTTTCCAACTTTTGTGTATTTTCTAGTTGTATTGGGAGTTGAACTACTGGGATAGTTTACATATTTAATGAGATTGTTTATGACTCAACTATCGTAACGAGTATATGATTAATGAAAAAGGGCATGATTGATCTCTTCCTATTTTTTTTTTCTTTTTTTTTGTTTAGGATCAATGAAAGAGAACGTCTGTCCCGCATTGCCTATTTATGC